CCGGCAATGAAATCCTTAGCAAACCCCGTGGCGTCGAATGGCATTCTTCTGGATCTGTTCGGAAGCAATCAAATCGTTAATTACATAACAATCAAACCATACATTTACTAGAATTAGCGGCTCATGAGATGCACTGTTTGCTCGACACGTGATCTCACGATTGCAATCATATGTTTGATTAAAACACCGAAAAGTGATATAATTAATGAGTTTATGACTTAATATCAATGTAATCATCAGTTGGTGTCAAATGTGTGTCAAATCAGGTCATGACCTCTAAGTGAAGGGCAAATGCATTATCGGGCAAATGGGGGTCACTTTGACAGCGTTTGGCCACAAATAGCTCAACAAATACTGCTATGGATTCAACTGATCCAAAGAAAGCAACTCTTGAGCGGACATAAACCTCAAACACCGGACACACACTTGAAGGCCATAAATAGGACATAAGGTTAACATTGAGATGACATACAAATCGCGATAAAACTTTTCAATGCATTTATTAATCAAAATAATGACTCAATTAAGAAATGATAGACAAAATAGATTTACCTTTAATTCAGACTTTGATTCAAATGAAATGAATGGCAGAAAGAGTTAGTAATGTATGAATGGATGCGATCGGAGACCAAATGAAATGCTATTCAAAGCCTATTAACCAATGGTTTCGACACCGACTCCAAAGCTCTCCACTTCTCGCACACACTGTCTGTCTATCACTCTCTCCAACACTCTCTCACTCTCGCAGACTTAAGGGAGTGTTAGGACGAGAGGGAAAGAGAGAGAGAGAGAGAGAGAGAGAGAGAGAATTGTAATATCTAGTGATTACCAGTAGTAATTTATGACGTTTAAGTTAAGAAAAAGTTCAAATAGTTAACCAAAAATAAAATTTCGATCAATTTATAAATCCTTTTTTAATAGGAAATCATTCAATTAAGTGCTAAATTAGTTTAAACTAAAAATATATATAAAATATTAGATATCACAAAAAATATTCACACATAAAACAAACCATTCATTGGCTTTAAATTCACTTTTTCTGTGTGGAAATGATTACAATTATACAGATATGAGGTATAAATGTACAGTACATGCAATTTATAATGTAAAATGTGCCCATGTTGTGCCGGTGCAGACAATTTAACACGTTCAAGGATACCGTATAACTGGTGTTAATATAAAAAAGGGTGTACCGGCATTTAAAACCGGTGCTTACCATTTGTAACATGTTACAATTTTAACATTTTAATTATGTAATAATCTGGCCTTTGATTTATGTCTAATTAATAAAATGAATTTTATTTAAAACTATTGATTGAATGTCTGTATGGATACACTTCTCAGATCACTATTTCTAGCCTTCAATCGTTGGTTACGAAACAATTATATCTTTCAATTAATACTTTGATAATTGCAATACTTTTGATAAGAAATGAATTAATATATGACATAACGTTATGTATTAATTTGTTGCATAAAATGCNAATGAATTAATATATGACATAACGTTATGTATTAATTTGTTGCATAAAATGCACGACAATTGTCTCAAAACTTAAGGACATTATAAATTTAACACAAATCACTTGATACATGAATATGTAGTAAAAATCAATACTGAACATTCAATTCACACAAAATGTGATGATATTATGTATATTTTAAAATTTTTTAATCAAATTATTCAATTTATTGTAAAATTGAAATTAAATTCCGGCTAAAACTGGTTTCCTATAAACATAATTACACTGAATAGGAAACTATTGTAAAAAATCTCATTAAAAATCTCATACAATGACAATGCATTAGAAATGCGGTACAAAATTGAACCGAAAAAATGCATTCAATTTCTAATTATTTTTATTTCATATCATCTGATATTTCAATTAAATTCTCATTGAAATACTGTTTAGTGAAAAACCTATTGAATTACAATAACTATAAAACATTTAGAAATACAACTAAAAATACCACTAATTTCCGGGTCACCACTAGATATAGCAAAACCTCAACAAAATTTTAAAATATACAAAATATTAAAAAAATTAAAATTAATTTACAATAAAATAAAATAAAATAGTTAATAAAATATACAATAAATGAAAATCAACTCATAAAACATACCGTTTTTGGCGATAAATGTGGAGAACCCGTGAGTTTGTCAGACGAGCGCAGAGATTAGACTGAATGCTAGTTGTATTGAATCTCGTGATGGGAATTATATATAATATTCACCACTAGTTCTCTCCCTCTCACTCTTTCCCTCTTTCTCTATATCTCTCTCCCTTTCCCTCTCGTCCTAACACTCCCTTATACTCTACCGACGCCTCTATTGACCGACATTTGACTATTTTGAAGGACAACCCATGCCTTCAAATAATGTCGATTCTGTTGTTAGGGAATCGCACGACAGGTATGAGCGCTAATGTCATACATATTCTCGTCAACCACTCAATAGCATAGTTATTGCACTCATATCTTCATATTATAAATATTTGTAACGATAACACCGATTATAGCAGGACTTGACGGGAATGGGTGGCCAGGTATGAGCCGACAGGGGCTTTACATCTGTGGCGGACATTATTTGTGAAATATAATGTACGAGTTTTAGACTTAGTTTCCGCGTCACTCTCTTTCTCGTCGTCGACATGAGTTGTGCGCAAAACGTTTACGTAATAATCAATTGCTTTTTCCATACAAATCGGTGTAAAGGATTTATACCAGGCGTTGGGGTTTATGAGAGAAAAGTTCACTGAATTTTGCGACACAACTCATGGAAATGTTTAAAATTAAAAACATTTTAAAAGTGAAAATTAATTCAAAAACAAACTCATTGAATGAGACACAGAATCGTCAGATTCTTACAAAATTTATGTTAATTAATAATTATAATGAGAGTTCACTATAACTAGCATTGATTGTATGGTTATATAAATTTACAGTACTGTACAGATAGTAAATTCCAATTGGTAAGAATCTTAGAACTCAGGGTCATTTGGTGTACCCGTTGAATGCGATCGTAAGACTCGGTGCCGAAATCCAAACCGAGATAACAATAATACAAACCGACAGTCAATTCGTGGCATTTATTAACACAACTTTTCCAATAATCACATGTCTCTTGCGGTCTCTTCTCGAGCAAATCATTCAATCATTTGATTGAATTAAATGCGAAAACATATTTCATATTTACTACTAAATTGTGTGAAACATAACCAAAGCTTAAGATTACACCTAAAAAGTCAATCAATTGCTAAAAATAAAACAATTATGAATTTAACAAACAATTCAAACCCAATAAAAATAACGTAAACTTGAAAATAAAATTTTTCCGATTTTTATTTCATTTCCATAATTGTTGTCAATTAAGACAGTGTTTTAATCATACGTTTAGCTATAATTATGATCGTTTAAAATGTACATTAAATTAAAAGTTCTCGTTTCTGTTGTCTAAAAACATTATTTCAAATCTTGATTTAAATCAAAAACTCAAACTTAAAAACAACAAAATTAATGACAGAAAGTATTTGTAATTATAATTGAGAGATAAGTTCCCGAAACAAAGATCCCGAAGAGTGCCGTCAAATACAATGTCATAAAACAATGATTTTCTGAGAGAAGAAAAAACAGTATTTTCTAAATATTATTCTATGGCCTAAAAAATAGAGAATTCTTTAAATAATTGGTTTTTTGAGACAATTGTTATTATCATTGATTTGCGAGAAAATTATAATTAATGCTAACATTAGTTTGAGTTTATCCTAAAAGTCCTTTGATCTCATCGTACAAAACGAGGACAAACGCACCGCCAGTGCCTCGGAATACGTTAGAGAGGGCGCCCTTAAAGAAGGCCTTCGAGCCCTCGGTTTTGGCGATTTTGCCCCAACAGTGGATCGTATTCTTATACATGCGCTCATTCTTAGCGACGCCCGACTGCATCATCATTCGCCGCCTCACAGTGTCGAAGGGGTACGAGATTATGCCCGACACTGTCGTCACGCACTGCGCGATCATCCATGAGATCACTAGTGGTGTGTTCTTCGGGTCCGGAAGCATACCCTTAGCCGTGTCGAAGAATCCGAAGTACGCCGCTCTGTAGATGATTATACCTGTGATAGACATTGGCATCAGTTAGACATCAATCAATCAGTTATTATCATCACTAATACATACCCTGAACCGAGACATTGAATCCCCGGTAAAGTCCAATAATTCCGTCGGATTTGAATACTTTCACCAAACAGTCGCCCAAACCCTTGAACTGTCGCTCAGCACCGCTTCTGCCGACATCAGCGCCCAATCGGGTTCGGGCGAAGTCTAACGGATACACAAAGCATAGAGAGGTCGCACCGGCGGCTCCACCGGAGGCCAAGTTTCCCATAAAGTATCGCCAAAACTGTGTCTTTTTGTCGACTCCGCCCAAAAACACTTGTTTATACTTGTCTTTGAACGCGAAGTTCAGCGCTTGAGTCGGGAAATATCGGATAACATTCGCCAGATTTCCCCTCCAGTAGGCGATGGCTCCCTGTTCTTTGGGGATCCGCACAAACGCATCGATAATACCTATCAATCCATACAATCATACATTAGTTATCACTCATTCAATACAATTAATTAGCAATCATTTCCATACCTTTATATCTCTTGCTCTCTTCGATCTGTTTGGACGCGTGCTGTACCTGAAGAAGGAGTTTCACTCTCTCGATGGGCGCCACCGCTGTCTTCGAGACGGCCGCAGACACACCGCCGGCAATGAAATCCTTAGCAAACCCCGTGGCGTCGAATGGCATTCTTCTGGATCTGTTCGGAAGCAATCAAATCGTTAATTACATAACAATCAAACCATACATTTACTAGAATTAGCGGCTCATGA